TGATACTCTCTGGAGTCTGTTGTTTCTCTTCTGTAGGACAATATCGCGGCGGTCAAACTCGTTACTCACAATGACAATTGCAACTTCATCAATTGTGGGTGCATTGAATCTCCTTTGATGCTCTCCTCCTGGAGTTTTGTCAGCTTTAATCACAATTCGGTAATCATCTGTTAACATTCGTTCCAATGCTGTCTTGAATAGTTTTACGTAGGAATTGTGATAGTGTAAATATTTTTGCAAGTGCATAACTATATTTTGTCGAGTTTCTGGAATATTGGAATACCTCTGTTGTGCCTGTGTGGTTTCATTACCCATGAAGAAAATCTGTAGAAACTTTGATTCTTCATTGGATGGTGGCAGCAATGATCCTGCCTTGTGGTAAACTTGGCCCTGCACTTTGAATGTCGGCATAAATCCTGGTGTTCTTATTTCCCGTGTTGTGCCAAAAGAAGTCATTTGGAAGCATGAGTTGTATTTTCTTATATTAGCCAGAAAGTGTTTTGAATCTGGAGTGGTTCTCCTCATTAATTCTCCTAAATCCTCTGGTGGCGGAGTAATTAATGGCAGTTTGACCTTGCCGTTAGAGCAACACATTCCTGGCGTCTCCTCTTTGCATTTGTATGCTTCACAATGCACACAAACATTCTCCATTTTGCCAATCACCACTTTCGGATGTTTGTGGTAATTTTCCTTTGGATTATAAGCAAATGCTGCGCGTTTTAAATCTTGCCATGCAAAACCTCTAATTGTGTATGCCCTTAATCTAACAATAAGACCAGCAAGTCTTTCTTGAGTTTGCTCGTGCGTCTCATTTGTCCTGTAGGTAGCGGTCCTTGTTCTTTGACAGGCAAGTCTTTCTTGAGTTTGCTCGTGCGTCTCATTTGTCCTGTAGGTAGCGGTCCTTGTTCTTAGACAGGCAAGTCTTTTTTCAGTTTGCTCAAACGTCTCTTCTGCCCTTAAATTTAAGAACCTTTTTCTGATTCCGGCTATTCTGGCCTTCGTTTGTAAAGATGTCTTATTTTCTCTCTCAATCTTTTTTCGTTTCGCATCAGTAGAAATTTTCCCAATAAACTTCTTTTTTTAGGAGACATCTTAATATCTAAATTATAAATCTAACTGGAAAATAAGAAATGTAATATCTGCAATGCTTAATACTTTTTAAAAAACAATTTTCAATTGTTGTATCAAAATGATCAGCATTGCGTAGAAAGAAAAGATATCAGGCACAGAAAGATTTAGGCATAGAATTATAAACTTAACTGGAAAGTAAGAAATGTAGTAATTTCTAGAAAAAAATTTTCAATCTGTTAAAAATATATTAATTTAAGATATATAATTTTAATGCTATATCCATTATTATCTGACTTTCTAAATTGATGAAATAAACTATTTTTCGTATCGGTAATCACGGAAATTCGATATCCGGAGAACAATCAGCATTGCGTAGAAAGGAAAGATATCAGGAACAGGAACATTCTCAGCGTGAAGGGTCAAACATATTATCCGACCTCCTAGATTAATGAAATAAGCTGTTTTTCGTATTCGTAATCACGGAAATTCGATACCCGAAGAACGATCAACATTACGTAGAAAGGAAAGATATCAGACACAGAAAGATTCTCAGCGTGAAGGCTCAAGCAGAACAATGATCGTCGTTTTAGAGAACGCGCGTGCAAGAAGAAATACGTCACATGATCATGCGCTGGCCACGTGGTCATGAATAACTTCGCGCCAGAAAGCATTCCTATGAAATTGGCAACAATCATGCGCCAGAGTAACGTCGTTTCTCCATTATTTTTATGAATGCGGGATATCTTTTTAAACATATATTTACCCTGTTTCATATATAATTCAATTAAGCAAACATACATACACACCAATTCACAAAAATACTATAAATTGAACAATATCACTTTTTTATCGACTGAAGTTCAATTCCGTCGTATACACAATTCTTTGAGATTCACTCAATTATTTCCTAAAAAATTGGGAAAATTCGAAAAAGATGGGTAACAAAAAACTATACAGCTTATAGCACTCCCCGGAAAATTCTACCCCTGTTTTATAAACAATTATTTAAAATTCGACCAATTATTTTCCGAAAAATTTCTAATATCAGTTTCCAAAAAAATTGGCAACAAAAAATTATACATTTTATGGCACTCCCCGGGAAATTCTACCCCTGTTTTATATACAATTCTTTAAGATTCGGTCAATTATTTCCCGAAAAATTTGGCGGACAAACATACAAGCAAACATTCATTTTTATATATAGAGAGATTAAATTAAATAATTGTATAACAGATTATTCATTTAGACAGGGCGGCAGTGTGGTCTAGTGGTAGAGCGCCAGACTCGTAATCTGAGGAACCAGGTTCGAGTCCACTAGAGCCATGTAAACATGGAATGTTTTTCCGAAAACTGCGCCCCTCCGTGCAAGATAGGCTCTTGTGCGGAGCAAACTGGGCTCCTTCTTCCAGAAAAAGACGTTAAGCCGTTGGTCCAAAGGATTAAAGTGAGAGGAGAAGGATACTATTGAGTAAAGGATTGGGAACGTCCCTACAAAACGCCTTGCAACCCTGAGGGGAGTCTTAGACGGCGTACAAGCTCGTCCACCTAAAGCAACTCAATTTAATAACGGCAATGTATCTTACGAACTTCAAATTCGTTCGAATACAATCGTTTCAAGTTTGGGAAAATATAAATTATTATGTTCGTCAGATGTAGAACCAGAGTGTGTTCAATTCTCCGATGTCTTAACCACGTCAAAACGTGTCAGTAAGTTTTGTAGTATCATCGATTTATAACATAATGAAACATTTATGCCATAATAATCCATTTACACTGTAGTAAGTTTAGACTGATAACAGACAGATAAATAATGACAAAACAATCTATCAGTGGATTTTATACTAAATAATATTTATCTTATTTTGGAAATATTAATATTAAATATTTATAAATAAATAAATATGCATATATATATATATATATATATATATATAGGGAGGTTGGGTAACCCTCGGCGGGGGAACACGGAGGCGGAGATTGGGAAGGTTTAAGTATGGAAAAAGGGTGTTGTGGGTGAAGGATAAGGTGGAGGAGGTAAGGAGGGTGTGAGGAAAGTCGAAGAGAAGCTGAATAAATGGAGGTGAGGTTGAAGGTGAAGAGAGTCGAAGGAAATCTGGAGATGAAGTGGAGACGGAAAAGAGAGGTTAGGATGACAGAGGTTTTTGGGAGAGGGGGACGGAGAGAGGGGGGAATCAGAGGAGACCAGGGAGAAAAGGACGAGAAGGCTCAGCGTCCGGGCATGACGGAGTGGAGGTGACGGGGCGGTTGGGGTGGTGAGTAAAAGCGAAGGGAAGAGAGGAACCCAGGGAACCGGTTAGGCGGCATAGAATATAGAGATACCGTCGGAGAGGTAGGTGAAGGAGAAAGGTTGGTAGGATTGGGCGGTGAAGGGGATAGCGCGAGAGGCGAGAACGACAGGAAGGTTTAAGGCGGACTCGCAACGCGCGACTCGCGGCAGGGATCGATGGACGAGAGGTAATTTCGAGAGATCGATAGAAGGGATCGATAGAGACAAGTGAGCAGGAAAGGAAGGCTCGTGGTGGCAGTACGGCGGAAGAGTAGTGTGAAGGAGCTGACGATAGGAGAAGTTTAGAGGAGATACGTTGAGAGAGAATTGCTGCGGAAAGAGAGGAGGTAAAGGTCGAAGTGAAGGAGGCAAGCTGTAGTAGGAAAGAAGGAGATAGAGGGGCGCGAGAGGTAAGCGGAGTAGGGATAAAATTAGAGAAAAGTTTGTTATTTGTTGCGGATAATCCAGGATGGAATACGAGGGGAGAGCGATAGCGGAGGCGGTGGAAAAGATAGTGGAGGAGAAATTGAGGAAGATAGCGAAGGAGAAGAAAGAGGTTGGTAAAAGGAAGGAGGAGAGGTTAGAGGAGCTAAAGGAGAAAGTAAAGAAGATGTTGAAGGAGAAGAAAGAGGCAGGCAAAAGGAAGGAGAAGAGGAGGGAGGAGCTTGAGGAGAAAGTAAGAAGATTGGAGAGAAAGGTAGAAAGATTGGAGCTAAATGCAGGCAAAAGAAAGAGAAAGGACGAGGGGGAGAGTGAGACGGGGAAGAGAAAATGGTGGGCGGGGACAAGTGAAGGGAACGAGGACGAGCAAAGAAAAAGGAACGTAATTTTAAGGGTGGAGAAGGAAAAATGGGGAGGTAAGAGGTCGAACTGGGAGAAGGTAAAGGAGCTGTTCGCAGAAGGGCTTAAGGTGAGGGTGACGGTGAGGGAGGTGATTGTGGTGGGACAGAGGGAAATTTGGCTAACCATACTGGTGAAGTTGGGAGACGAAGAGTAAAAGTGGCAGGTGCTGGAAGCGAGAAGTAGGGCGGGGAATAAAGTAGGGGTGAAAATACACGAGGACAAGTCGGTGGAAAGGAGAGATAGGGAGAGAGAAGAGAGAGAAGAGAAAATAGAGGAGAGGTTACGTAGGAGTACAGGGAGATCGGAGGATGAGGAGATATCGAAGGAGATGGAGGATAAGCTGCTCGTCGAAGATAAGTCCAAAGAGGAGAAGGAGGAAGGAGGAAAGAGGGCCTGGGCTAAATAAGAGGAGGAGGAAGGGAGGGAAGTGAAGTCTGAGGGCGGAGACAAAGCGGAAGCGGAGAAGGAAAAAGAGGAAGAAGGCCACGGAGAGACGAAGCGTAGGAAGAGGAAGAGGAAAACGACCACAGGAAGCGGAAGCGGACGTGTAAGAAGAGGAGGTGGACTTCGGAGATTTGATCTATGTCTATGTTTATGTTTGGAAGTTAGAGTGAATGTTATGTAAATGTACGAGGTTTAGGAACGTTCCTCGTGATAAAAGAAAAACGCCTTGTAAACCCTAAGGGGATAGACAATAAATAATACAATACTATATATATATATATATATATATATATATATGCATATTTATTTATTTATAAAATAATCAAAATATAAAATATAATTCCTTTTTAACACTTTCTAAATATCTATTTCTTAGTCATAGAAGGTTACATCAAGACAAACTTTGCTACAATTTATAACAATAAATTAAACAAATCAATCGGTTGTGGGTCTCTGACGGATGGGGAGTATAAATTAGAGACTCACATAATAAACTTTAACGAAGAAATTTATCGTGACCTTAATTTAAGAAAAGGTAATAAAATGAAAATAACTGGTACAATACAAACTACAGGTAAAATATTTTTAATTATTATTGATAAAATTTATTTTATTTTAAAATTCAGTTTATATGATAAAAGCAACTTATTCTTATTTATAAATGACATTTTTTTCAAATATAATAAAATCAGTCATTATTTTATATTAAATAAATATTTATTACAATATTTAATTAAAATTGAATAAATAAATTTATTGTAAAAATTTTATAAAATTTTATTAAAATATAGGTAATATATTTAAAAAAATTAAAATTAAAAAATATTTTAACAGTATATACATTGTTTATACATATTTGTACATTTTCTTCTATTATTTATATAGAGTTGCATTATACAGAGTTTATTTATATGTAATTGCCAAATACGTACTACTTGAGCTATTTAAGCAATTTTTTATTATATGTCGCATTTGATACTGTTTTAAATACAAATCAAAGTTGAAAATTGTAACTTAATATTTTAGGTACTTATTACATGTTTAACCTTTTAGTAATAACAAATTAAATTTGTTATAAGATTTTTTGTAACATATTTTGCAAAGTGCATGATTTAGGAAACTGGTCACCTAAAGCCACGGTCTTACATACAGGTGTAGAAACTCAGGCCCCAATTTCGGTAGTGGGGACTGACTCACTTAATAAAGCAAATCTGTAGTTTCTTTTATAGCCACCAGAGTCGCTGCGATGTAGGAGTCATGTTATCGTTGACTACAGTTCGGGGTTAGGGTCACGTAAAACCGTAAGATAAACCGTGAAAAAATGTCGAAAAGGTGTGCCGTTCCGGAATGTGACACAAACAAAAAATTATGCAACAACAAATATAGTGTTTTTAATGTGCCGGCCGAAGAAAATTTGCGTGAAAAATGGGCAGCTGCAATTCCGGGCATTCAATATTTAAAGTCAAATCAGTATATATGCGAGAGACACTTTAGTGATGAATGCGTTGTGCGGAAGTGAGTGAAACATGATTCTGATGGAGAAATAATAGTTAAAGTAAGTATCTTGTTAAAATAATATTGTGTTACGTCCTGCGGATTTCACGATTTCCCTTTTTCGCGGGAATTCTTAAGCACTTAAGATATCCCTTAAGATAGGATAATAAACTGAGCACGGACGGTTATCGATCGGCGAGTGAGCTTTGATCTCCTCACATTCCTTTTTTTATACAACTATAATAGCTATTTGCCTAGCGACAAAGCGTCCTTCTAGAGTAAAGTATTGACAAACAGGGAATACGTAATCAGATTTTGTCTATCAACCTTGTCTGGCCCATAACTAAACCCGGCGACACGACGCGCCAAAACGAATCCCAGACAGAGTTGATGAAGATCTTTATTGCATCGAGCGAGCTTTCTAAAATTGCTCGTACGATGTTTCCGACAAACAGAGACAAAGCCTAGAACGTGCCTGTAAATACACGTGGCGGAAGTTCTGTTTGCCTTGTACCTATTATTAAGATTGAAAAGTATGCATCGTCTGTCGACATAAAAACAGGGTCGCGAGATAAATGAGGAACTCTAATAAAAGAGAAATCGGCGATAGCAGAAAAACAAATGCGTCACTGGAAGAACTGATGGGTTACACCCCCAATAGGACAGTGGGGGCCTTTCGAGGGGGCTCATCAATGGAAAACCGGAAAAATCGATAACCGTCTCTAGCTTTCTAAGATAGGCGAAAACTTAAAATTTACCTCTTGGGTGAGAAACATCTCACACAATAAAAAATCTCTTAAATAATAATTAGAAACATCCCGCCAACCAGAAATCCTTTAAACGAAAACCAGACACATTCCACACGAAATCCACCCATCCCATCCTTTGAACCTTCCTATATAAATCGCGACTTTACGCACTTGCACTCTCTTCCTATCCGGCACAAGACAGTTTAGTTCTGAGTCCGCATACTCATCCCAGTTTTCATTTACTATTATATCAAAGACAATTTTCTTTTCGCCAACCGAAGGAATCGCAAGTAAATTCTGTGCGCGCTAAGTGCCACGAACCATCCTCACTAGCGACTCGGCGAGACCTGCGGTCAGCACCAGCGCCCGACAGAAAGATATATATATTGTTACGCTTATCCGTGCGTCCGCTGCTCACTCACACACTCACTCGC